TTTTTTTTATAAAATTATATCTAAACATACAAGTCATAAAATAGCGACCTTTTGGGAATGAAAGAAAATGGGCCACGGTAAATATTATTAGGGTATTTAACTAACAAGATTCAGAAGAAGATAAAGTTCTGGATTTATTTCATTTATTTTCCAAAATCCAAACTCAAGGGAGAAAATGTAGAAATCTACCCAAGAAGTCTAAAATTGGAAGTTGTTAATCTTCCCAGAATCTCAGATACATTTTCCCTTCTGGCGCTCACAGTTTCTCCCTTAGTTGTTTGTATGGTATCAGTTTTTTTTTTTTTTTTGGATCAAATTACAGCGCCAGCTTTACATATGGGGAAATTGCAATTTTAATTACCCATGTGGTATGAAATAAATACGTATAAAAACTTGAGATTTTAAAATATGCATATAACATACATGTAATTTTATATATATGTATAAATGAAATTTTGAGATTTCAAAATTTTCATATAAATACATAAAATTTGTACTAGATGTAAATAAGCACTTAAACTTTTAAAAATTTCTTGAAATCTCTTGAAGGCCCTTAACTTAAAAAGAATGAAAAGAAAAGAAAAATGAAGGTATTTAAGATATGCCATGTAACCTTAAGTGGTTATATACATTTAATACAAATGTTAAGTATTTATGTGTACATTTTAAAATTTTATGTCTTTGTATGTATTTATTTTAAATTACAAATATGTTATATACATATTTTCAAATCTTATATCTTTATTTATTCCAACCTCAAATAACAAGTAACTAAAATGTAATTTCCCCTTTATATAATTACTCCAACTTCCAAAAAAGAATGGGAATTAAATGAAAAACTAAAATAAAAACAAAAAGAATCAGTGTAAAATCCTTAGTAAAATAAAAGGATTTTTGTAAATTTGTTTCCTGATTTGTACGGACTCCAGGTGACGGGGAACTTTAGTTGAAGAAAAAGATGCTAGCTCGCAGTAAACACGTGCCCAAATGCACGCGGCTGTAATAGTACGCTCGTGCTTTCCACGTGGTTCCGTTACCTTTTGTGCCTCTGCATGACTTCCACTTTTCAAAATTTGCAGTCTTTCCTCGAACAAACTTATTTTGTTTTTTTTTTGTTCAACGAAAATCCAATAATGACCCTTGGACACAGCATCATTTCGAAGAATATTAAAGTTTCACGTTTTGTTAAATTTTTCATGTGTAATTTAGAAGTTAAAGATGGTATATCTAGATTACATCTTACGATATAAAGAAGAAATTACATAAAAATTATTTTTTATCATATAATTTTCAATATTTCAAATTATAAAGTAATTTTTTTTATTAAAAATGCAATAATAGTATGTGTTGGAAACCTCTAAATTAGAAATGCTCCTATTAAATAGCATGATAGATGTGATTAAATATATCTGCAGACGTGATGATGAATTAATCTACTCACTCAAAACTTGAAGCTTTCTAATTAGAAGCACTTCGATTTAGTAACTACTAAGTACTAACAAGCTGTGTTTCAAGAGATGAGGGAATTAATGGCGATTGAGATGTGGTCTTAACGTAATAAAATTGTGCATGTGGGGTTGTTTGGGAAGCAAGAAAGGCATCAAACTACAATCTGATGGCAATCTCAATTACCTAAACAAGAAACGCCAAGGTTGGAAACAAATACCCAGAGACACCCCCAGTTTTTAGGTCCTTGCTTCACCACTCCATTTGGAAGGTAGAAAACCACTGTTTTCACCATGAACCCAGATAAATACTCCCCAATTGCGCTTAAATACCTATCTAATTCTCCTCTCCCTCCCGTGCAATCCCACTTGTCTGCAGAAGCAACCATGAGGATGAGCTGCAATGGCTGCCGCATCCTCCGCAAGGGCTGCAGCACCAACTGCATCATAAGACCCTGTCTTCAGTGGATCAGGTCCCCCAAGTCTCAAGCCAATGCTACACTCTTCCTGGCCAAGTTCTATGGCCGCGCCGGCCTCATCAACCTCATCGAAGCTAGCCCTGAACACTTCCGCCCAGGTAAGGAGTCATTTTTTAAAATTGAATTAGAGAGACACAAAGTGCTGAACAATGTGTATCAAAATTACGTAATATATATTTTTTAATGGCATTGCAGCTACATTCAGGTCACTTTTGTATGAAGCTTGTGGGCGTGTTGTGAACCCGATGATGGGTTCGGCAGGGCTTCTTTGGTGCGGAGACTGGAACCAGTGCCAAGCCGCCGTCGAAGCAGTCCTCAATGGTTTACCCATAATGCAGAGTCCTGCAGCTTTCAGCTCCCCTGTGGCTCCTCTCAAAACCCATGACATACGCCACGTGTCCAAGGACTCCAACTCAGGTGAGATCTCCAAGGTCAAGACCCGCACCCGTTTCAAGAGATCGGCGCCAAGGCCCAAATCCCTGGTTCCCTCAACTAGTACCGGTATACATGGTCATGGCACGTTGCTGGCCCAAATCGAAAGACCGGATAACAAAAAGGAAAATGAGAACCTCTTCTCTACTGGAACCGTGGAGGGTTCTCTTCTGGACCGGACGAAACCGCAACCGGTAATGATTTTTGATAACCAAGACGAAGGCGGCGACGTTGGCTTAAACCTGACTCTTTGTTTGGCCCCGCCGTCTCGCGCAGTGTTAGAATTGAAAGAAAATTTTGGCGGTTGCCAGATACCTGAAATATAATTTAGCTTCAATATTTCTTTAATTACCTGCTTATTTCTGTGATTGCATGTAAGAACACATTGAGTGCTGTATATTTAGGATACATGTATCTTGTGTATACAATGTTACATCTCAGATTTCACCTCAAAATACAGCACTTTATTTCCCTTTTTTTTTTCCCCCTATGTGTATCATCATAGAGAAATGAAAGATTAATATTACAACAGTTTTAAATTAGTTGTGCATTTTTTTTTTAATTTGAGTTTAAAAATACATATTATTGCCTTTTCTTATGTTATGTGAGCTGCGGCTTGCATTCGGAAGGAAACATTTCACGGACATAGGGTGCAATCGATTACAAATGATTATAATTGATTATGTATTTTTTTAATAAGAGAGAGTCAGCGTCAATTCTGAGTAGCTTTATATATAATTCATTGAAGTCAGGACCATAATCTAGTCTAGAGTGTTGACATTAATCTCCCGTTGATTTTTTAATGAAAATTTTTAATTTATATCTTAAGTGCATATAGTGTAATTATTGAATATTTTCACTATTAATTAATATAAAAAAATAAAAATTGATTGACAAAATGTTCAAATTTATCCCCAAAGTTAGACAGTAAAGACAAATCTACTATTGAACAAAAAATGAGAAAAAATCTATTTATAAAATTTTTTATTTGAATAAATCACTTCAAATTTAATGTATGATATCATTTGATATTAGTAATTTATTAACAATGAACTTATTAGTAATGAACAAATTAACGGGTTACTGATATCAGATGACGTTACATATTAAATTTAAAGTGATTTGTCTAAATTAAAAATTTTAGAAGTGAGTTTATTCTTTTTTTTTTTGTTCATGAGTGAATCTATCCTTTCTACCTAATTTTAAAAGTGAAGTTGAATATTTTGCCAAACTAATTTAAACTTTATTAATTGTTTAATAAAATCATTTCATACAATATTAATGTTAAAACTAAAATTTGTTTTTATAATTGTTTATATAAATTAAAATAAAAAATATAATAAATGCACTTTTAAAATGTATAAATTAAAAAAAAGACGTTATTTATGTATTCCATATGGAAAATGTAGAGGGAACAAATTCAAGTCGTTTTCCAACTAGGGAATCAGACATTAAATGGTTTTGGTTGAAGTTGAATAGGGCAGAAAGTTGGGAATGAGGTCTTTCCACGTAGAGTTATGTGTCTAGACAGCTGCTACTCATGCAACGGTCGTGTGTAGCTGGCTGCTGTGTCGGTGTTTATTGCCCATGTTCTATTAGTACTGTATTTGACGTGGAACAACCGAACAACTAATAATTATTGGGTTTGGGCTTGAATTTAGATTTGGGTTTGGATTTAAGCTTAAAACAAGCCGACACAATTTCTTGCTTTGATCAACATAAAAACAGTGTCGTTTGGAATTAAAACTTAGTCACATGATCATCCAAGGAAATTAATTAACAAATTAGATGGATAGTGTAGATCAGTTTTATACTTTCACGCAAACATATCTTCTTACTATTAGAAATTGATGCCCATAATGTCAAAGTTATAATTATTTTCTTTCAACAAGTACAGATAGTTGTATAACTTTGGAATGTTACTCATGATACGGTGTTTCTTCAAAGATGAAAATTATTCAGACTAACCTTAGATTAATCAGAACGTCTGATACCCATTTCTTGTCAAGTATATTGACAGTTGCTGTTGATTGAGGACTTAGAGAAGGTTATTCAACAGGCCAAGCTAATTCTGAAGGAGATGGAGATGGAGCATGCTACTTCTTAAGTATTGAAAATAAAAATGACAAAGGACGGAATAAGTCATTACTGGAGAAGCCGAGAAGGTGTTGCCATTAATTTGCAAGTTCGCAAAAATAAAGGTTACAATTAATTATAGCCCCATTTACTGGTAAGGGAATAGAGTAAATTTCCCTCAAACCACTAGATCAACTATTGCCATTTAGAATATTTGTTATACAGTTGGTGGTATAAATGCATAATATTGCTTCATCTTATTTTTACTCTAGCTAATAGAACTTTTAAATAATTAAAAATTGAGATTTTAAATTAGAAATTTCGAGTTTGAATCACAAGACAAGTGGAGAGAAATGAGAAAAGGGAAACTCCATTTTAGATGTATAACTCATTATCTGATATACAAAATAATAATAATAATAATAATAGCCCCATCATGGCATTTTCTCTAAATTAATATCATCCTATTTCGGGCTCTCCGAACACAATCTTGATCTTCCTGCTTCTTTCACTCCTTCCTTTTGGTGTTCTTAACATCCTTGTAGACCTCACAATTTTTTATCCAACTCGCTAACTCGTTGATCTGTTCATTACCCACTCATTTTAAACGGGTTAGAATTAGATATTTATAACCTGTGACTCGTTAAGAGAACTTGATGGGTCACGGATCAATAATGGGTTGACCCGTTGAGTTTACGGATTTGACTCGTTTACTCGTCTAAAAATTTAAAAATTTTTAATTTATTATTTATTTATCTTGTTTTACAATTCTCAATCCCACTTAGACCTCTAATAATTGACTAATTTTCCCTAATTAACTAATTGATTCTCTTAACTCATCATCTTCTAAAAGTAAAAATAATCCCACTCCACTCATGACTCACCTCCCAACCTTTTTAATTCTTGCTTGCCCTAAGATTCTCTGAGACTCTAACTCTTCAAAGTTCTAACTCTTCTCATATTTTCAACCGCCATAATTTATATATATAGCCGTCGACTCCACCTTTTCTCTTTAGTTTTAACATTATTTTATACTTAGATTTTAGTCTCACCGAGTCACTATTGCGTCAATTCAACCCTTTCTTTCTTTCTCCTTCGAGTCCGACGAGTGCTCTCTTTGTCACCAACTTTTCTCTCTAAAGTCTTCAAGATAAGTTATTTACTTATTTATACTTTTTAGTTTTCTTTCAATTCCAAGTAAAAATTCTACTTGATCTTCTCCTTTGCTTACTTAGATGCATTTGTGTTTTTTGGTTGTCATATTACTATTGCTTTTTTTCTTTTCTTTTTTTGCTATTGAGATTTATAAGTGTATGGTGTTTTCGAATTTTATTAGTACTGTTTTTTGAAAGGAAGTGAAGAATATGATTTTGAGGAACTGTAAATATGTTTTATTAAATTAATGGAAAAAAAATTTTCTTTTATAAAATGTTGAATTTCATTTTTAAATCTTTTGAATACTTTTCTTTGAATGATAATAGATACAAATTACAGAGAAAAAAAAAATTTAATTGACCAGTTGACCAGTGACTCATAATGGGCGAGTTAGAGTTAGTCTTCATTGACTCGTGACTCATTTTAATCCAACTCATTTTGACCCATGACCTATTTTGATCCAACCCTAACCCTACCCAACCCAACTTGCCCATTTGCCAGGTCTACATCATGGCCATGCCACTTCCCGAACCTGAGGCGCGTGGCAATATGAGCGGCCAATAGACTCAATACAGATTAAAGAATCCACACCAGCTTCGAAAATGGAAAGGAGAAAAATAAATAACTTTAGGAGGCAGCGGCTCCATCACACAAACAGTACCCTTGATTCCTTGTTGACAGGCTATATATGCCTCCCATTGCCAAATTGTCCTTGGATCTTTGGTCTATTTCGAATGGCTAACCAAACTGAGAATGCATGTCGGGCTTTAACTCCAGGGGAGCAAACAAGCCTAAGTCGCACAAATCTTTCACCATCTACTAATCTATTAATTAAAAGCAGAGACGGATGCTTAAAATTTTGAATTATGTTAAAAATGTTAAAGGGTAATTTAGTAACTTCATCATACACATTCCTGTAACTAAAGTTATTAATTAGGTGTCCCCCGCTCCCCCACCAAAAAGAGTGCTATTAATTAATTAGTAAATTCTATTAATTTATGTGTAACACTCGAAACCTTCGTTTAAAAATAAATGAACCAATTTATTTGTGATGTTTCATTTTTTTCTTTTTTATATATTTACATACCATGTAATGGTAATTAATTTCTACTTTCTCCAAGTAATTGTATTAGTGATAAAATGTTATCTTGTAATCCTTCACCTAATGGATGGTTAATCCTTATAACTTTTATTTAGTGGTTGTTTAGTGGATGATATCAGAGGTTTTTTTTTTATTTAATAATTTATATTTTTTAGGTAAACGACTTAAATAACTCAATAACTTAATAATAATTTTTTTCATTGAAAATAAAAGATTATAAATTCGAATTACATGATGACGTGGGTGAAATGAAATAAATAAATGGAAGAGATTTGCCTCTTATCAACATAAAAAAAAGATTGTATGATATAATTTTAATTGCAAAATAAAAACCTTTATTTACTTACTGTTTTTTTTTTTTGAAAAGAAAATTTCTGGCGAATGGAGGACATGTAGTATTACTGGCCGAGCATCGCTGCTCAGTGGTCAGTGCCATGTCTCATT